CTCTGGAACTGGTGACAAGGCAGTGGGTCCTGATGTCCTCTGGAGCTTGAGAGTGAGAGGCCCTGTTTGTTTCACTGTATATGAAGAGAGATTTTTCTGGGATGGAGGTGAGATAAAAGGTTTCAGGTGAGACAGGTGGACCCAGTGAGGAAAAACCTCAAGTTTAGCAGCTGTAGGGGTTACAAGAATTACTTTGAAGGGTCCCTGCCACTTAGGGGAAAGGGGTGAAGGGCGCTGGCCTGGAGGAAAGAGAAGAACCTGATCCCCAATATGTATTGGAGATGGGCAAGGATTGTCACACGGCTGAGGCAGTGAAAAGTCCACATAGCTCCATAGAATAGACCTTAGGTGACATAAAAGAGGAGTTAACAGGCTATCTGGAACAGTTGGAGGCTTGGAAAAAAGACCTGGTGTTAAAACTGGCCTTCCATACATTAGTTCAAATGGAGAGATTGAAAGAGGCTTTTTAGGAAGAGCCCTGAGCCTGAGGAGAGCTAGAGGCAATAATCTTACCCAGTCGAGATGAAGTTCCCGTGACATCTTGGTAAGAATGGTTTTTAAAGACCGGTTGGTATGCTCCACCTTTCCTGAGGACTGGGGGCGGTATGGAATATGAAAATCCCATGAGATATTAAGGAACTTAGCTAGTGTCTGAGAAATCTGGGAAGTGAACTCTGGACCATTATCAGACTGGAGAGAAGCAGGGACTCCAAACCAAGGAATAATTTCTCGGAGAAGAAGTTCTGCAAGTAGGAGAGCTGCTGGCATGTTTGGGAGGAGGCAAATGTGTGGAGCAAAAGAAATGGATGCTCCTACCTTAGCTAGGAGATTCCTCCCCATTAAAGGTACAGGGCAACTTGGCACCACTAAGAATGTGTGTGTGAGAGGGATGCCTCTGAAAATACGATTAAGTGGTGGTGTCTGCTGAGGTAGATAAGGCTGTCCCCCAACCCCAACAATAAATGAGGTGGCATCCCAAAACTCCCAGGACTGAGTCAATGGCTCTGGTGTCCAGAAGGAAAGAAACAAATCGCTTCCCTGCTGCATTCTGGGTTCCCTGCCATGTCTGTAGCAAAGCCTAGGTCTGTTGGAGGTCTTAGCTTGATGTACCCATGCGTCTTGGTGCCTGGGGGCAGACTCTTTGTTTTTCTAGGTGGCACTTTTAACAAGGCTGTTGATGGCCTGGCAGGGCATTCACTAGCCCGTGTCTGTTTCCTCACTTAAAACAGGGACCCAACAGCTTTTGGAAGCCAGCGAGTGCCAGCACTTGGCAATTTTGTTTTCGGGCTTTTATCTTTTCCCTGGCAAACCTTAAATGCCACAGATCACTCTTTTGCCTGTGGGGTCAGGAGCCTTGCTCTCCAGATGCTTAAGTTTTAGTCGGGGAGATCTGGGGAACAAGAGACGGATTTTCGTCCTTATCCTGAATTATTTACTGGTTTTAGGGCAGCCTTACGGAGACCTGTCAGGAAACAGGTAATAAACCTATCTCTGGCTAGTCAGCCACTCTGGGTGTTGTAGTCCCAGTGTGGCTCTTGGTCAGGAACCACCTCATCTCCTGGGGGTGTGAAAGGTTAATTTGATGAATTTTGTCTGCATGAGTCCTAGCCTGTTCCCATACTCGCCTGAGCTCCTCAGGAAGTCATGAAAGGTGAGACTGTAAGATTGAGTTATATATTGAAACTGTTTAATTAAGGAAGCAGAATTAGACGTATAAGAACCCAGCTTACTTTGTATCTGAGAGAGTTCTGTTAGAGAGAGAGGATGGAACATGAATTTTAATTATTGGTTCCTTAGCAAGATCTAGAGTCAGAGATTCCGGAGTCAGAGAATCCTCTGATTTACGTACAGCTAGGAGCATATGAGCAGGAGAGAAGGAAACGAGAAGAGACGGTTTAGCATTGAGAAAGAAGAAAGCAACTCTTTCCATTTGCCTGAACGCCGACAGTCATTAGAGAGCTCCCGTAAAATATCGGGATCCAAGTTGCCGCTCAGCGGCCATTTTTGTTATTCGCTAAAGCATACTTTGGCCACTTTTTGAACATAAATGAGTTAGCTTAGAAATCTTTATGTAAGGTATTAAACTGAGAGGTTTTAAAGCTTCAACAAGACAGCCTAACGGAGAGGAAGGACTAACAGGGTTGGAAGCCTTGTTTCCCATGTCTGCAGCGAAGGCAGAAAAATAATAAAAAAAAATATAAAAATAAACGTGATCTGGAGCCAAGACCTCAGATGTCCCCAGGGTCCAGGGCAGATACCGGGCACGGCCTGCTTCTCCACTTGTCAGCTAGAAGCAGTGGCCCCCTCCACGGTGAGGGAAAAGAATCTCCGAGATTCCAGACAATGTTTGCCTCCCCGTCAGGAGGATGGAACCCGTCCACCCCACGTGGCTCCTGGGATGCACCCCGACGGTGGCCCCAACACGAGAAATATCTCAGGCTGCAGACGAGGGAGATGGCTAGAAAAGTTAGGCCTGCGATAGGGGCCAACCATAGCCAATGAAGACCATGGTAGGGGGTACCCCTGGTCTCAAGAATATGTGTGAGGCGCCGGACGATCAATGGTCGTTCTCACAGATTCAGGAAACCGTTTATGCTGGCCGAAAAATGGGGGAACTCACCAATTGAAGAAAGCGGTGTTGGATGCAATTTGGATGCGGTTCAGGCAAATGGAGAGCGGTCTGTCGCGTATGGAGCAGATTACCCGGTTCACGGGCTTCCAGGCACAAGGCGCCCACAAGCGCCCACTCGGTTTTGGCACCAAAATGTTAGTTATTTAGCTGCATTGTGTTCTTACCCTGCAAGGAAATGTCACGAAACACGACAGAATCCGCTTATAGAGTTTATTAGAGATAAAGGGATAGAGTGCGCAGGCCTGTGGGAGAGACACATGCATGGAGAAGAAGGGGGACTGGGAATCATGGCGCTCCACTTTAAAACTGGCTGGGGGCATGGCCAGGTCACGTCACTACTCCACACATGTGTGTAGATCACATGGTCACATTGCATGCTTACGTGGCCATGTAATGTCACAGATCCTGGTTACACGAGACGCCTTGACCCGGAACTTGCTAGGGGGAGGTGTCCGGGTCTGCTGGATATCCTGGTTACAAGAGACGCCCTGACCCAGAAATGCCTATCCTGACCTGGAATTGGCTAGGCGGAAGTGTCCGCCCAGTATATGCGACCGTGGGGGTGTGTTGTAAACCCTTCACTAACTACCTGGACAGTGGGCCCTCTTAAACCACACTAAAGGGATAGTGAAATAAATTTTCCTAGAGAGGCATGATGGTGCAGCACACATTCAATCCCAGGACTGAAGAAACAGAGGCAAGTAGATCTTGATGAGTTTAAGGTCAGCCTTGTCTACCTAGCTTATACAGTGATGTCAAGGCTATAAAGTAGACCCTGTGTCAAAAAAACAAAACAAAACAAATTCCCATTAATTTATATACTACCCATTCCCTTCCCAGAAGTCTCCCTACCCTGTGAAGTTCCCACATGCTATGTTGATGTTCAATTGGTTCTGCCTACCTCACTGTGGTCACATCAGACAGGAACAAGTTTTCCTTTGTCTTTCTTTCTGTCACTTTCTTTTGGAATTTGGATGCTGGTTGAATCTAAATATATCTTTTCTGATTTTGTATAATATTTAAGGATCCAGCCTTAATATTACACTTTCCAGGAGAGAGGCTACCATCATCACAGGAATGAATCCAGATGCACGGAGCTCTTTCATCCAATTCATTTATTCATCTGCTACCCATTATTCAGTCACTTATTCAACTCTCTCAATTCTTTTAATTCCCTCAGTTTCGCCCTCTTTTTTTCAGGACTAGTCTATATCTTATCCCAAGCAGCAACACCTCATGTTTTGTATACAACACAAGATTGCAGGGTTTCCACCAGAGGATTCCTGGCAATTTTATTTGGAACCCAAAATGGGAGAGATAAGAGTGGAGTCAGTTAGCAGTTTGAATAAATCAGGAAAGGAATTTATGTGCTAGAAATACATCCTTACTGTGGTTAGGTGAAAGCATTACAAGTTTGCCATAAATGTGTTCAACTATAAACTTACAGGTGATGGGGGAGTCTGTAGGTCACTAAAAATTAAAACTGTCACTTTTTTCCTCTGCTGCCAGTTTCCTAACTGGGCAGGAGAGGAGTACTGATACCTAGTCAATCTGCATCACAGCTTGAAGTGTCTGCTGAGATGAAAACCTCTTTGATCTAAGAAGTTCTCTGGGGCAGTGAGAAAGAGGGGGAGGCCTTGATTTGCACAAGAAACAAAGCTTGTTCCTCTAGTGGGCAGGCACTGGCCTATGAGACAGCTTGTCTCAGAAAGGACATTTTATCCTAGTTGGGGAAGGGGAGGGGTATTCAGGCATTTAGCAGATAGTCTGGTAGCTATCTGTTCCTTGCTTGTCTTTTAAAGCTTTGTTGGGGGTCGGATCTATCTTAGGAAGTAGCTCAAGGAGGATATTTGCAAAAGGCCATTACCCAAAACAAGTGCTAAAGAGGGGGCCTGGAGCTCAGAAGCAGAAGGTTCTGTCTACATGACTATCCAGGTGCTTTGAAATGGAGGTTCACACACACATATACAGTTTAGGAGAATTATGAACACAATGAATTCATAGCAAGGCACAACTGAATATTAAGCTGTTATGTTACCAATACTCCATGCTAATTGTCTTCCCACTCCACTGATATACAGCTGGACTTCTATTTCATATTTCTGTGGCTCGCCAAATTCTGATACTTTAGGCTTCCTTGCTTTTTCTAGATATGCCCCCTTTCACCATATATCTGGCCTCCATGTCTTCTTAAACAACATGATTATATTTTCCCATTTACTCCTCCGTTCTTCTCCTCTGTGAGATTGCTGAGTTATATATGTCCCTGAACTTGGAATTTTCCCTCATAACTTGAATAGATTACCTTTGAAATTTCACTTGAGTCACATTATTAAAATCTTTTATTAATGAGATTAAGAAGCTCAAGAATAGAATCCAAAAACCACAGCATCACAACTATGAGCTATCAATGTTTAGGCAGAGAAACAACAGAGAATTCTGAGTTGGAGTTGTCCTCTTAAGGGAGGCATTTGTAGCAGCCTTCCACGGCTTCCCACCAGCTTCTTGTAGTCTGAGCCCCTCCAAGAAAGGTGATGTCAGTTACTCAGGGTCCAACATTGGAGAAGATGAAGAGAAGAGCTGTGGAGAATCACCTCTCATTAAAAAAATCCTTTCATAATGAACACATTGTACCTTAGTGCTGCAATGTCCCTGGTACTGCTCTCCTCCTGTCCTGAGTGGATGAGATGCCCATGTCATAAGAATATTGCCTAATCACTAAGACACACAGTCTTTCTGAGTGTCTATCTCTATTCTTTGTGATAACAGAGAGACCAAAGCAGGGACAGTCCTTATTACAGGTCTTTGGTACTTCTAAAAATTGGTCCATAATATAGATAGCTGTTTTCCATGAATCCTAGCCTTCCACTTACTGTGGTGACCTCCAATAGGGACAGTGAGGACAATATCCCACATCCTACTCAGGGCCCTGGTCCTTCAATCCTTTAAGCCTCTTTGGATGGCTTTGTTGATCCTTGACAGAAAGCTTCCTGCAGAATACACACACTTCCTTGGAGCTTGGAATGGGGATGTCTCAAAGGGTTCTAAGAGATTCCTGAGGATCCTCAGCAATATGTCATCACAACAGATGGTAAAACTGTTTCACAAATACTTTGGCTCTCCTACTGCCCCTGCCCCTTCTTTGTTAGTCCAAAGACTGATAACCCCCTGGTGGTTTGAATAAGAAATATTCTCTATATTCTAGGATATTTGAATGCATGTTTCCCAGTTGACAGTACTGTTTGGAGAGGTTTAGACACTGCAGCCTTCTTTCCAGAGAAAGTGTCACAGCAGGTGAGTTTTGAAGCCTTGTGACACTTCCAGTTTATTCTCTCTGTTTCATGCTCTCCACAAGGATGTGAGCTCTTAGCTCCCTGATCTGTCTTCATGCCTCTCAGGATTGATGAACTCATGCCTCTGGAATAGTATGGCCAAATAAATCCTTTTTTTATATAAATTAATTTCCTTAGGGTGTGTTGTCACATTGACAGAAGAGTAACTATTACAGCCTCCATCCCTCCAAACTTACAGTCAAGCCTTCTGCTTCTTGTACATGTAGATGGCAACGGCACCAATTACCAGTAGCAGTTTGGGTCCAAGGAGCACAGCTACAAGGATTTCAGCAGCATTTGATGTCTTCAGTTCTGGAAATCAAGCGGTAGGAAAACTTTAGAGAGGACACAAGGAGTTCATCCTCAGGGATCTTTACCTGGGCCATTTGTGGATTCCCAAGTACTTCAAATCTCTGAGGAGTTTGCATCTGTGCCCTATTCTAGCTTCAATAATTCAAAGCAAAAGATATGGTAAAGAGATTTCAAGTTCACCACTGGACCTGCCATAAGTCACCAAGTTTCCCTGCTAGAGAAACTGGGTAAGAATTTGTGCTCAGTGCCACATAGCACCTGCTTTTATGAACATAAGTTCCCACAAAGAAGCTGAACCTTCAATCTGAACTTTTGGTAATGATTATTAGCTTCTTAAAATTCAATGAATTAGAAAGTTTGGCATGTTGTAGGTCCAGAGCCAAATTATCTTGGACCATATACAACCTTTTTAATAGCCATATATTACCTTCCTCTGTACTTGACATAACAACTATGTTACCATTAAATAAATAATTCGGAATGTACAAGCAGAATATTTTTTCCTTTATAATGTATTAATATTAACTTAACAGATCACTAGTTTCTACCAACCTAGATACTAAGTGTGTCATCAGATAGAATCTGAAGCCTCTACTAGGGTTCTGTGATGTGTTGTAAACCACTTCTTCTGTGTTTCCACCAACGTATTGCAAAAGTGTCTTGACTTATGACATTCTTTGTTCAGTTCCTGCAAAAATTGTGTTAAAGTTGTTACACAGTCACCTTATATGTGATCTAAATCTGTGTTCCTGGGCCATGGCCACCCATATTTTGATCTGGAATAAACTATTCAGTTTTAGGATTATTATTTCTTCTTCAATGGGGAATCTGATCTGTAGGTATGGCCACAAGGTTAGTGGGATTCAGAGAAGCTCCTCACTGCTGGTATTTAGAATGATCCCTGGGATACTGTCCTTAGACAAGACAAGTTCAGTCTCTCAATTACCCAGGAATAGCTGTGAACCAGACATGCACATGAAGACGATCCATTGAGAGAAAGAGTTTACAGAGTGCCTTGTTTAGATAAAAGAATCCTGGAAAAATCCAGATTCTTGGGGTAAGAGAGCCTGCTGAACTGGCCAACAGCCTGACCAAGCCACTTGCCGAAAACATGCAGATGAGGAACAAAAATTCTATAGATGAGTCTATCAGAATACATGCCAGGGTTTGGTGCCTCAGCCATCATACAGCCCAAGTCCACCCCAGTGTAGATGTCTTCTAAAATTTGTCTGTTGTTCAGGAAGTAGTATTTTTAATTTTGAAATTAATCAAAGATTAAAATTTGGTTTTAGGAACAGAAAGAGTCTGGTTAGGTTGTGTATTGGTTGTAGTGTTTGCCTAAGATGTAAGGTAGGCTTAGGTTACTAGGTTCAATAGCCAGCACATCAACAACAACAACAACAACTACAACAACAACACAAAATCAATTTTGTAGCCAATGCCTGTAATACTAACATTAGGGAGGTAGAAACAGGAAGATCAGAGCCCAGGTTTTCTGAGACTCTGTCAATAATAGTTTTAAATGTTCATGACCTGCAACCTAGAATTCTAAGAAGAGCATTTCAGTTGAGGAATTTTATAGATATGGTTGACCTGTTGGTGGGTGTGTGGAGCATTGTCTTGCCTGTTAATTGAGATGGTAAGCACCACTCTGAGTGTGGGTGGCACCTTTTTATTAGACACAGGGCTTCACAGTGTTTAAGAAGTATAAACAAAGCAAGGTGAACATCATGCCACAGATAGTATGGTTGCATTTGTTTTTTTGTTGTTTGTTTGTTTGTTTGTTTGTTTGTTTGTTTTTTGTGGTGGGTGCTTTTGACTTTGGGTGTGATGTTAGAGTCCCTGAATTGACTTTTCTTGTGTAGCAATCTGAATAATATACTTATTTGCCTGGCTTTACAATGAAACTATAACATTGCCTGAAAACGCAAACAAACAACAACAAAGACAAAACAAACAAAAATCAAAATGGTCTTGATGGGGCCTTAGGAAGAAGCAAACACCCAACTTGATGCAGCGGAGTACAGATATAAATTCTATTGCCTCTTCCCTCCTGTTCAGCCTGAAAGAATTCTCAGTGGCCATTCAGTGCTCCAGCTCTCTGAGGAGTTGCTGTGTCTTTTGTTGTCCTTGCACTGTGATGCCATGGCTCCCTCTGCAACACAGGCTCTTTCATATCTGTGTTGATATCAGTGTTCTGGAAAGATAGGCCTTCCCACTTTAACCATAGAGTACCTCCTTGTGATTCTGATATGGAATAGCAGTCTGGGAAATACACTCAAAGAAGAGAATTTGTAATTTGATTACTGAACTGTCTGGCACTGAAGATCCCAGCACTAATGGTCATTGTTTCCAGGGCTTGTGGTAGAGGTGAAAGTGTTTAAATTAAAGTAGCAGACAATAGTTATCCATAGAAAGGTAATTTTTCTGCATCAAGCATTGAAGTAAATTATCTCCCACCTCAAGGAAACCAACAAGACCAAACTAAACCAGAAACAAAGAGAATGAAGGAAATACTATCCTTAGAGTAGCAACAAAACTTAAGTAAACTTCCCATCAATTGAACAGAATCACAACTTGGGCCATAAGAAGGCAAGTTAAACCTAAATCACGATAAAGGGGTGGAATAATTATTCCTTCAATGAGATGCTGCCCTTTTCCTTCCCAGCATTCCTTCCCCCAGGACAGTTCTTCCTACTTGAGCCGCAGTGAAGTTCACCTTTCTGAGGCTTGATTAAGAAGGGACAACTTTTTCTCCCACTTTTCCCCTATCTTTCTCTGGTACCATGTGTGGGCTGCAGTACTATTTCCTACCGCTCCCTTCCCACCTATTGTTCACCATGTGTCTGGACTCTGTGCTGGCTAGAACAGCATGGCAGTTTTTGTTTGTTTGTTTGTTTCTGTTTTTTTCCCCTTCTTTTCTACATTATCAGCCTCTGGGAGTCTGATGAGATTTAGAGCTTGCCTGCCTAAGGGATTTTTTACATTAAAACTCTAGTAAAATTTGAATTGGGCTTCCTGTCCTTAAAGTTCATTCTTAAATAAATGGCACTAAGAATCCCAAGACAAGACCCCAATTTCCTTTCTATCATTTGGTGACCCATGATGTATTTCCACAAATTCTTTTTACATATTGAAGAGAGAATAATATAAAATCAATGAAATAGAGACTGAAATTATGGATATGACCACTAAAAGAAGTTTGTTTTAGAAAAGGAAAATATTGGAAATCTTCCACAAAGACTGATAAAATGAAAGAGATATGACAAGTTTTCCACATCAGTACTTATAGAGGAGCATAATTACACACACACATATATACTTAGACTTAAGAAGGACTTATGATTATCTAAGAAATTCTATAGCAGAAGTTCAAAAATTCAGCTAAAATGGACAAATTTTAAAGTGCTAGTTCTAACTTATTAGTTATTGGGTAAATTGAAGAGTATGATACTTTTTGAGGAACCTAATTTTGTGGTACACAAAAGTCTATAAAGTAATTTTGAAAATACAGTCTATTTGGAATACTATCAATTAATTTCATTTAATGTGATGATGGTATTGAATTTGAATGAAAATATCCCTTTTTATCTTAGCACCTATTGGTGGACTGCATTTGCAAGTGTATGAGCACACAGGACAGATCCATCAGAGGGTACAATTATGCAGCATCTACATAGTTCATACTCTAAGAGAGCTGATACTTGCTAACTTTGACTCTTTTAATGGTGATATAATGGATAATTGGGAAACCCATTGTTTATCTAACAGATGAGGCTCACAACAAAGGATGTATGACAAGGAACCTGAGTTTTTAAAAAGTCTTGGGAGTTGAGTGTCACAGCTGGTGTTTCATGAAAGGAAAAATAAAATAAATTCATATAGAGTGGTCTCTATCACACTGTAAGTCCTAGCATAGTCCCCAACAAGATAAGGGGAAAAACTTTACTAGCAAAATTTGCCTAGGATACTATTGATGACCTTGTTCCCAAGGATGTTAGATTTCCCTTTAGTATATTAGACTAGGTCACATGGTCTCAGGGCAAGAACTCAACATCCCTATTGCTTCCCCACCCCTAGAGTTCTTGTCTATAAAACTGATGACTCATTAGGTGACTGATGAAGGCAAGAGATGATAGACAAATTGAAAGCTGCATGTAGTAAGTGTAGAGTCAGGGTCTGGATAAGACATTTGCCCATTAAAACAAAACAGGAGGAAATGAGGCTCCTGTTATAACCACTCACAGTCAGTTGGGTTCCTGATCCACACTAAGTCTACAAGTCATCAGGAGGTACATTGGGATTACACTCAGGAGGTAGCATAGGACACTGAGTGAGGACCCAGATATTCATGGAAAAGTGTGAAATGGAAAAGAGACAGGGAAGATATTGAAAAGGAAGAATATGGAAATGAGGATATAACAAATTTTAGGTTAAAAAAAGGCAAGAGACATGATTCTAAGGTAAAATGATGCCTTCCTGTCTCCATTATTTAGTATCTGTGAATGTCAACACAACAATGGAGAGATGCATGAGACCCTGGAGAAGTTGGCAATGAAAGCTAACTTTAACATTCTATTCAGTTGTAGATATTAGGACTATCATACAATAAGCAAAATACTACCTTTGACATCCAAAAAAAAAAAAAAAAAGGAAAAATTTGCCAACAGCCAAGAAGCTGGGGTGGAGATTCACCAGACATGGTGCCAATACCATGTTCCCCCTGCTGTACACTGATCACCACAGTGTGGGTTTTTAGGACTGCTGGCTGTCTATCATGCTCAACTTGGCAGGTGAATAACATGTCCTCCTCATATGCAGATACATTCACCAAGCACCAGCTAGTCCAGCTGTAGGTTCCATCCTTGTTTACTGCAAATATAGAAGGCTCTTCTATCCGGGATACTTTTCCATTCTCTAACCAGGACAACTGAAGGCTTGAAGGGTAGAACTTATGCACCTGGCAGGTGACACCTATCAGATTCCATACCATTGGTGGCTGCTGGCTGATCTCCATAGTGGGTGAAACTGAAACAGCAGAAGCAGAAGCTGAGACTTCAGAGCCAAGCACAGAAAGACCCCAGAGGAGAGGCTGAAGTATGGAGGAACCAGCCCCCTTGCAAGTCTGTCATGGGACAGGATGAGTATTTGTGCCACAGTAGAACCCCTAAACACAGCTCCTGACACATAGGTGCACAGGGTGAGTGTCGTAATAAGTGAAGTCAATAAGCACAACTTATGGTGATATTTTACTTGTACTGAAATGTGATTTTAATTGTATGATAATAAATAAAGTTGCCCTGGGGTCAGAGCTATTAGAGCCATAGCAAGAGCATGGTGGTTAGAAGAGCTAGGTAGATTTCTGTGTGTTCAGGGATACAGCCAGTATTGGAGACATATGCCTTTAAGACCTGGAGGGCGGTACTTACAGGCAGTGACTAGGCAGTCATGTGTTTGGGTTTACAACCAATGAGAAGGCAGAACAGGAAGACTATTTAAAGACAGACAAACAGGAAGTAGCTCTCTCTTGGGGAAGCTAGGAGCACTGCAGGAGGTAAGATTTTATCTCTGAGCTCTGACCTCTCGGCTTTCTCTTTTACATTGGCTCTGTGTTTCTTATTTTAATAAGACGATTGGTTACATCTACAACAACTCCCAAGCACACTGAGAAAATAATAACAACAGTAAAATACATAAAAATACCAGGAATGAGGACTGTGGATCATAATCAGTACAGATGTGATTTCTTCTGTTAAAATAAATACAGTTTCCTTTAGGCTGACCATAGTCTATGATTCCCATCCCCATATGGTATGCATGAATTTTTGCTGGGAACTATGGACCAAATCATTCTGAACAGCTATGAGCTTGAGCTGGGATTCAGCATCATTTACCTCGGATGGTGTCAGACAAGTTGGCAGTCCCACGAAGAGGGCCTCCTTGCAAGGTGACATGGGACACCTCACAGATGATCTGAGAGTAGACATCCCCAGGGCTCAGCACCACCTGGGCTGTGCTGGAGAGATTGTAGGAGACACTTTCTCCTTTGGGGTCCACAGTAGTTTGGAAGTGAGAGAGCTCATTTCCATCTTTGAACCACTTAAGTGTGATGTTCCGAGGAGAGAAGCCATGGGACTTGCATGTGAAGCTCACTGTCTGCCCAGGACTAACTCTGCCTGCAGGGCCCGACACCACAGGAGGAGACGGTTTAGCTATAAAGAAGCATGTAGACAATGATGTGATTGTGATGCCACCACTGTTGACATAACATTGTGAGGAACCTTCATAAATATTATTCCCATTGTTATTGTTTACTGTGGTGGTTGGTATCAATGCCAGAGCTTCAACCATACTGAGGATCTGCTCTACTTCAAGATGACAGCTGTGTCCTAGACATGTACCTTAACTGTTTATCCTCCTCATTTTATTTTTTGGTTATTGGAAAATTTTTTGGCAGGGTTAGTTCTGGTCCTTTTTGGATGTCCCTTATTCTTTTATCTCCAGAGTTTGGCAAAGATCCCAACCAGTAAATGAGGAAAGGCAAGGCCAGGTAGAATTCTCAGCCTGGGCAAATGAAGGCAATTGTCAGTGTATTTTATATTTTCTACCATCTACTCCTGCTGGCTTCCTCTGGAAACCTTACAAATCTAGGGAAAATATTTCTAGATTCACATCTATAGTAACCCAGGAAATAAATGACGTCACAGAGGTACCACAAAGCTGGAGCCCTTCCTGCTTCCCCAGTTGTTTGCTTTCTTTCCTGAACAACGTGCTAGTACGTCTCATCTGTGTCAAGTCTATATTTAACATTGAGAGCTCACTAGTCTGCATCTCCAAATGGGCTTCAGTTGAACTTAATTTGAGGTTGAAAACAGTGATTATCTTCTGCAGAAGAAGCTAAAGGTGGTTCATTTTCTAACTGTTAATCATAGGAGAACAGGTAAGAGCCTGTTGAGCACAGAGTATACTCCCTAGTTAAAAGCACACATATGGGTGGACTAGCAGGAGGAAGGCAGTGTGCTGTGTAGATGTTTTATGTTGAGGTTATTATGTGTAACAGGTACATTTGGAAATATCATACACATGTGTATTTGTATATATGTGACTCCTTCTCAAATGTGCATCAAACCAGGAGTGTAAACAAGTGTTATTTGAAGTCAAGCTATCTAAACACAAGCACACCTGATGTCCCTACAGGCTTGAGGGGCTATACCGAGTCATTATTTATCATGAGTTTCTGTCCATCTTGACATTTCCCATTTTCCCATGACCAAACCTTTGGTGGGATTAATATCAGAGTTCATTTGGGTGGACAGGTAACACAGAACAAAGGACAAAGCTCAACCCCGAGAGGTGGTTAATTTGAATCCTATTCTTTAGCTAATGAGCATCAATGCCCCCTTTCATGAAAACTGAATAAAAACATCACCATAGAAAGATGAAAATGAAGGTAGAACCCCATGCCTAAGTGTGAACTTACAAATTCTATGTATCACTGCAGTGGTTACTACACATGAGATCATATATTTATTCTTTGCCACTTCTGTTAGCTGCAGCAAAATTCATAAAGGCCCAAGATGGCATATCTCTAGATTGTTTCTGCCCCTACTCTGAAAAACCTATATAAGGAGCAGAGTGTAGCTAGAGTTTTCCTGCCTTCCCC